TCTGCGGTTGAACCTGTCAGGTGAATTTTCCATTTCAGACTTTGTATTTTTTTGTTGTGCCTGGTCTCACATGTTTCCTTTTACAGTTTTTATTTGTCTGATGAGAGATCCTCTTCATTAATAAAGTTCTTAAACATATTTATAGTAGCTGCGTTATAGTCCTCAACTAATTCCATATCTGGGTCATCTTGTGCTCAGTGTGTATTGATTTTTTTTTCTTGACTGTGGATCACATTTTCCTGTTTATGTTCATGTCTAGTAATTTTTTATGATAAACTAGAAATTATGGATGATATGTTCTGTTTTCTCCTAAAATGTGTTGATGCTTTGTTGTTCTAGCAGGCAGTTACCTGCCTAGACTTAAACTCCAAACTATCTCCCCTGCATTTGGGCAGCAGCTGGTATCTTTGCTCAGTTCTTTCAGGCATCTAGCTGATGCTTTTCTTCGGGGCCTCTGGACTCTCTCCTGTGTTGTGTGTGATTCAGGGTTCAGCTAAGGATTGCTGTAGAGTTTATAAACATACACAGTATTTTGGAGTTTCCTATTTTCTAGGATTTCCCTCCCCACTTTCTAGTTGCTCTGTTAGCTCCAAAATTCATCCTTTGATGTCTCAATCCAATAAGATTGTGACTTCCTTCTTGAGTTTTCAGCTACTCTGAACCATTTATGCTGGTATCTACCCTCAGCAAACAGCTATATAAAGGCAAATCTCACCTACTATAGTTCCCCTCTTTCAGAGCTTTACTTCTCTTTAGTTTCTGCTGTTTGGTTGCTCTCCAGTGCTTTCAAATAGCTGTTTTTATATTTTGGCCAGAGTTTATCATTGTTGTTTATAGGAGTGTTAGTCCAGTATAAGTTATTCTACCTTTCTGTGGGTAAATTCCCATACTTTCACTTTTTTAAAAGACTGTTTTTTAGGGCAGTTTTAGGTTTACAATAAAATTGAGAGTAAGGTACAGAGATTTCCCATATACTTCTTGCCCCCACACACTCATAGCCTCCTCCATTATCAGCATTACTCACCAGAGCAGTTGGTACCTTTTAAAAAAATATCAAGAATAAACCTACAGTGACATATAGTCACTCAAAGTCCATAGTTTACCTAAGGGTCACTCTTGTTATTGTACATTCAGTGGGTTTAGACCAATGTATAACGACATATATCCATCATTATAATATACAGCAGTGGTTCTCAACCTTCCTAATGCCGCGACTATTTATTAATAATACAGTTCCTCATGTTGTGGTGACCCCCAACCATAAAATTATTTTCATTGCTACTTCATAACTGTAATTTTGCTACTGTTATGTCTTAGGCGACCCCTGTGAAAGGGTCGTTCGACCCCCAGGTTGAGCACCGATGTCATACGGAGTATTTTCACTGCTCTAAAAGTCCTCTGTGCTCTGCCTATTTATCCTAACCCCCACCCCTGGCTACCAGTGATCTTTTTTCTGGCGCAATAGTTTTGCCTTTTCTAGAATATCATGTAGTTGGGATCATACAGTATGACTTCTTTCACTTAGTAATATGTTCTACAATTTCCTCCATGTGTTTTCATGGCTTGATAGCTCATTTCTTTTTAATGCCGAATAATATTCCATTGTCTGGATGTAGCACAGTTTATTCATTCACCTACCAAAGGACTCCTTGATTGCTTCCAAATTTTGTCAGTAATGAATAAAGCTACTGTAAACATCCACATGCATGTTTTTTTGGTTGTTTTTGTTTTGTTAATCCTCACCCAAGGATATTTTCCCATTAATTTATTTTTTATTTATTTTTTAATCCTCACTCGTGGACATTTTTCCATTTTGTTCAGATAGAGCGGGAGGGAGGGAGAGAGAGAAACATCGACGTGAAAGGGACACATTGAGTGGCTGCCACCCACACAACCCAACCAGGGCTGGGGACAAACTGCAACCGAGGTACATGCCCTTAGCGGGAACCGAACCCAGGTCTCTCTGGACCGCAGGCCGACGCTCTAACCACTGAGCAAAACTGGCCAGGGCTCCCGTTAATATTTAGATAGAGTGGAAGGGAGGGAGGGAGGGAGAGAATCAAACATCAAGTGGTTGCCTCCCGTACAACACCGACCAGGGCTGGAGTTTGATCCTGCAACCCAGGTACATTCCTTGACCAGGAATCAAATGTGCGACCCTGTAGTCTGTGGGTTGATGCTGTAACTACTGAGAAAACCAGCCAAGGCCATGTGCAGGTTTTTATGTGGACAAAAGTTTTCAGCTCCTTTGGATAAATACCAGGGAGCGTGATTGCTGGGTGGTAGGTAAGCGTTTGTTTCAATTTGTAAGAAACTGCCAAATTGTCTTCCAAAGTGCCTGTATCATTTTGCATTCTCACCAGCAGTGGATGAGAGTTCTTGTTTGATGAGAGGGAATTCCTCATAAAATTGTGGTGTTGTCAGTGTTAGAAGGTTGAGGCCATTCTAATAGGTATATAGTGGTATCTTATTGTTGTTTTAATTTGTATTTCCCTGATGACATATGATGTGGAGTATCTTTTCATACACTTACTTGCCATCTGTATATTTTCTTTGGTGAGATTACTTTCACTTTTAACTTTACTGAATCCTTATGTTTCTAGCGTATGTGTCATAAATAGCATTTAGCTTTTATTTTTAAAAACCCAATTTTTAATGGATACATTTTGTCTTTTAATCTTTATTATTTATATTTTGAGATTTAGTCCTACCATATTATTTTGTGCTTTCTATATTTGTGAGTTTTTTCTGACTTTAAATTTTATTCTCATTTTTTAAAATTGATGTATTTTTTTATTCCTCTTTTTTCAACTTTAGTTTTTAATTTACATTTTCTTTACTAATTAGTTGTTACCTTTAAAGTTTTAAATAATATTTGATCCTGAAAAGTCTAGAGTAAATTAAATATTTCTACCCTATACCTAAACACAGCAACCTTAAAATGCTTTAATTTCAATTACCTTTATTCCTTCTTACATTGCATTGTTTTCTGGCATTTTTATTCATATAGCAAATAGTATCTTTCAGATACTATTCCAGGTGCTGTAGTAATAGCATTAAACAAAATAAAGTCTCTACTCAGGAAGCTTGCAAGATAATTAATAAACTGATTAATATATGTTGTGGTATAAATTAGTGTTTGGTGCTAGAATGGAAAAAGCATTAGGAAACTATAAAGAATTATTTTGGGATGGAGATGCTATTTTGTATATGAATTTCTGCTGTTCTCAGACATTTCATAAGCTTTTTAGGGCTCAAGTATGAAAAACATAACTTTCATGTTAGGCTAGAGGAACTTGTAGTCTAACCAGAGAGTCCTAGGGAGAAGATACAAATATAGGAGCCATTGGTGCGTGGTAGGTGAAGCTCTACCACTGGTGAATTTCCAAGACGGGAGTGTCGAGTGTCAGGCAGCCTGAGGACTGATCCAGGGCAGAGGGGGATAAGCTGGTTAAGAAGACTGAAGCATGGTCAGAAAAGTTGAAGAACAAGAAATGACCCTGGGAGCCCAGAAAAGAAGTGGTTATATTTTATTTATAGCCTGCCTATTCCAATAATAATTGAAGAGGCTGAGATATCACATAGAATGGGTCCGAGAAAGAGATTTGTTTTGGTAGTTGGGACATTACAATGACTTGATCAAATGGTTTCATTGAAGTGAAGCCAGACTACACTGGGTTGAGGAGTTGAAAAATTAGAGACAGAGGCTACTTGTTCAGAAGATGGTAAAGGACAGAAGAGAGTGATAATCTGACGAGAAGAGGGCAATATTAGAACTCAGGGCTGAAGTTGGTGTTTTGTTAAAAACATAGAACAAAAACCTTAGAGGTTTTGAGGACTCCATGGCCAGAAAATAATGTGGTCCCTGGCCTGGAGAAAGTTTCTGTCTGATCCTTGCCAGAAACTGCTCCCCAGGATCGCTGGGGTTTTCCATTGTTGATGGTGGCAGTATATTTCCTAGTGTCTGAGTTTATGGTTGAACTGAATACTGAAACCACAGTATTCTGTTGTAATGATATGGCATAAAAATCAAGAGATAAAAGTAAAAACTTGGGTAAACTCTCCCTGACCATTGCTCTTCAAACTTCTTAGCCTGATAGTCAAGATTTGCCCTGTTCTGAACTCACCCCCTCAACCCAACCACATCTCCAAGTCCCCTAGACACTCCTGCATTTTCCTGACTCCCTATTTAGCTCACACTGTTTTGTCCACTTGCAATATCCTTCTGTCTTTCATAACTCAAATCAGTTCCCCAGTCATTCTCCCCTACCACTTTCGCTTCTTTGTGTGCTACAGTCTTATAACTTGTCACCTGTCGCAAAGATACAAACACAACTTGTCTTGTTATCTCTCCCCCTAAGCTGCAAGCTTGTTGTGGACAGGTTATGATTCTTTCACATTTATGTACATTAGATTTTTTTATTTTTTATTTTTTTTTTTATCCTCACCCGAGGACATTCCTCCATTTTTTTTTTTGTTCAGGTAGAGTTGGGGGGAGAGAGAGGAACAGAGAGAGAGAGAGAAACATCGATGTGAAAGGGACACATCGAGTGGCTGCCACCCGCACAACCGACCAGGGCCGGGGACAAACTGCAACCGAGGTACGTGCCCTTAGCGGGAACCGAACCCGGGTCTCTCCGGACCGCAGGCCGACGCTCTAACCGCTGAGCCAAACTGGCCAGGGCTGTACATTAGATTTTACGTGGCATAGTTTCTTGTACATATTTGATATTTATTAGCGTTTGAACAAATTAGGGATGTGTGATTGTGATAGATTAAGGCTGTGTCTAAGATAGGCATGTTATATACCAAGTTCTAGTTTGTAGCTATTAAATTTTTATTGAAATTCTGCTTCTATGAAATCTCCTGTAAAAGTAGACTCCTTAACTTGGATTCTCCACTGATTCACAGTAATTGTAGGTTACAGAGTGGTGTATTGGGATGTTTTTTACTATAGTAGCAGAATACCTAGTTAAACAATGCAGTCTTTATCAACTCACCTAACCAGAAGTCCAGACATAGGAGATTTCAGGGTTTGCCTGCTCAGTGACTCCATATCATCAGAGCCCCCTTGTGCTTTCCATGTTTTCACTTTGCCATCCTTGGCGTGTTGGTTTCTGTCATGACCTCAAGACACAGCACTTCTGTGTATCCTATACCATAATAACAAAGGCAGAAAAGTATAGTTTATCTTCTATCTCTTTGAGGGAGCATAATTTTTCCTGAATGCTTCCCAACAGACTTCCTTCAGGAATGCTTTCAACAGGTACCACTGGTTGAAATTTGGACACTTGCACTGGCAAGAAGAATGATCACTTGAATTCATTTGAGAGTCTAATGCCTTGAAAAACATAGGGTCTGAGGGTGGGATAAGGAACAAACAATGTCTGCCACATGTGTTATTTATGTGTCTTTGGCTTGCCCATCTGGAAAGTTTTAATGTCCTCCTGGATTTGTAAGAGGAGGCACGTATTTCCACTGAGCTTGGTGTTGGATCCAGTAATACTTTATTCATTGACTCACTTGTTCGTGGACTGGACATGAACTGAACACATTGTGTGCCAGGTATCCTGCTTGGCATTTGGAGGTGTGCCTGGCCTGTCATTCAGTGCAATAGGGGGGCTGAGGTAAGAGGGGAGGATAGAGTTATTCTATAATAAACTGATTATAGGACATTTATTTTTCAACAGGAGATGTGGGACATATGGATTTGGGATATGGATTCATTTGAAAAACCAGTTTGGGGTAAGTTAATAGCTGGGTGAATGACTTCAGGGTTTCACTTCTTTTTACATTGGGGTTTGTTCTTACAGCTCTGAAGGTTTCAGACTTTTGTTGATTGAACTTTATGCCTCATATACACATAAGAAAATGGCTTGTATTAAAATTCCAGTTTAGTAGTTTGAGAAATTTAACAGTCAAGCATAGCTCAGTACTGATTAATTAGTGCACTTAGTTCTCATTAGGGAGGTTAATTGGGAGACTAAATGAAGACTAGGTTTAGAAGTAAAAAGATTATTATATACAGTTTAAACTGCTTAAACTTACCCAATAATTGTATCATGTGGACTGGTAATAATTCATAGAATAAATGTTGAAGAGACAGGGTTAAAGTTTGTCTCTGAGTATCTCTTTTCAGTACTCTCAAGTGGCCATTTGAGTTCCCATTGCCTCAGTACAAATATAAAAGGTTCCCAGTTTTTGTTTCATCTAAGGCAGTGCCTCTAGAAATACTAGTTAATATTTACTGTGTACTATGGTATCTTAGTGTGTTGTACCTCATTTAATTTTGTGTAATGGAACTTACAAGGTGGGGATGGTATTTTTCGCAGCAGTTCTCAACCTGTGGGTCGTGACCCCTTTGGGGGTCAAATGACCCTTTCACAGGGGTTGCCTAAGACATAACAGTAGCAAAATTACAGTTATGAAGTAGCAACAAAAATAATTTTATGGTTGGGGGTCACCACAACATGAGGAACTGTATTAAACGATAGCGGTATTAGGAAGGTTGAGAACCACTGATTTAGAGGAATAAAGAGGCCCATGTTTATAGGATCACATAAATAATATGTGTTGGAATTAAAATTTGAACCCAAGTTTTAATATACTGATTGTGTTGGGGGTTCCCAAAATCATGTTCAGGTTCAGTGATTGGCTAGGAGAACTCATGGGATTCAGCATATAGTCATAGGAATGGCTAAAATTTAATACAGTGAAAGGATACAAAGCAGTATTAACAAAGGAAAAAGTGCAGGGGGTAAAGTCTGGAGGAAACCAGGCACAAGCTTCTCAGAGTCTTCGCCTAGTAGAGCCACTCAAGATGGGCTTCATTCCTCCAGCAATGAATTGTGAAAATATGTGTGAAGTGTTGTTGGCTAGGGAAGCTTATTAGACTCATTGCCAACATTTTTTAGGGGTTCGTGATGGAAACATCCCCTGCCTAGCATGTACCAAAATTTCAGGCTTCCAGAAGGAAAGCAGGAGTTTTGCATAAACCATACTATTTATGCAGACAGTTTAGGCACAGTGAGGCAAGGTTATCCTTTAAGGTTAAGTTTTATATCCGTGAAGGGAACTGTTTATTATTCAAGTTCCCAGACGCCAGCCAAGGCCCAGCCTTACAACCAAGTCTTTCTGAGGATAGCAGTCTTAGGCCTACTGTGTTAACTTTTATCTTGTACACTGATTTATTTATTCATTTAAGGAGATTGTGATTATGATCATTTAGCTTCTGAAAAATGAGAGTAGTAGGTAATGGCCAGCCAAACTCTTTTTTAATTCTCATCCGAGGACATTTTTCCATTTTTTGTACAGACAGAGTGGGAGGGAGGGAGAGGAAGAGAGAGAGAGGGAAACATCGATGTGAAAGGGACACATCGAGTGGCTGCCACCCGCACAACCAACCAGGGCCGGGGACAAACTGCAACCGAGGTACATGCCCTTAGCGGGAACCGAACCCGGGCCTCTCCGGACCGCAGGTGGATGCTCTAACCGCTGAGTCAAACCGGCCAGGGCCCAGCCAAACTTTTTAATGGTGTGTTTTTCTTGCGGATCCCATGACTGCCCACTAGTTTGATTTGCTTGAAGGACTCAACATAATGTACTTAGGGTTAAGGTTTATTACAGCAAAGGATACAGTGCAGGAACAGCAGGGAAAAGGTATGTATAGGTGAATGCTAGAGAGATGTGGCACAGACTTCCAAGTCTTTCCACCACGATAATTACATAGACACATTTTCCTCTCTGGCTGTGAATGATAAGAGAGAAAATGTCTCTGGCTAGGGAAGCGCATGAGTGTTATAGTCCAGAGTTCTTATAGGAAGCTGGTCACATAGGCACATTTCTGCCATATACCCTTTGGTAATTGAAACTTAGAACCCAAAATGGAGACCAGGTACACATCATAAATCTTGATGATTACTTTAAACAATACTAACATTCTGGTACGTCCTGACCCACTGCCTCTAACATTCTTAACTAGTGACTGAACATTTCAGGATTTCTGAGTTTGGCCAGGGGTCATTGCTATGGCTCCAGGCATTCCAATCCCAGAGATTAGCAAGGACTAAGTAAAACAGACTTGCTGTATTAACTCCTTCCTTACGGTATCATACAAGAAATAATGTTGCATTTGCTGAATGTATTTAATGCTGATATAGTCTTTAGAATATGATATTCTAAACTTAAAAAAAATAATTGATAGTAGAAATAGTTGACAGATTTCACTTCTCTGAGGAGAAGTTTGCAGAATATTTTCTTTTAGGGATTTATAGAATGGTGACTTTCGGATTTCCCATTTTCATTCACAACTGTTTATTATATCCAGGTATATATTATGTTAAGGAACAGAACAGAAATATGAACTTAAAACATATCAAAATATTAGACAGAATTAACCTTCACTTCATGAAGGCCTTCCGTGTGAGGGACTTTTAAACAGAATGGGATCTTTTTTTAATGGAATTTAGAGATTTATAGATATATCAGTTTTGCAGAAAGAAATTAATCCATAGTTTAAAAATTGCCTGATTACAGGATTTGAAACCAAGTTCTACTACTTTATTTATTGCTCTTTGAAACCTGCTTTATATTATGCAAAAAGAAAAGACAAAGTATATGAAGAAAGTCCCATGCTTGAAAATTAGAAGTTCTGAGTTAATAAAGTTAAATAGGTTTCCTTATTGCAGAATTTTATAGAACCTTCCGTGCCGTAATATGTAGTATGAATCTCCCAGGGCAAAGAGAGCATATAACATTCCCCTAACTTATTTGACCATAGGTTTTTTTAGCAAGGACTCTCAGGTTTGGGTCTTGCAGTAAAAATGTTCTTTAGAACAAAACAGAAGGACAGAGAAGTCATAAAGGGCTCTAGGTAGAGGAGAGACAGAAAACAGCTATAGAAAAAATTTACCTGTTGCAGAAAAGAAAACCTTGTTGCAGAAAGTTGAGTATCTTATACTGTCTTCTGATAAAACCTGTTTTGAAACTTCTCTGTCTGGATGTCTTTTCCCTGCCAAGTTTCCTGAATTGATGTTTCTCTTATAATGAGAATGGTGTGTCTCTTAGACTGGTGATGAACAGTGTGATAACAGCTTCCGTGGTGTGGATTATTGCCTTTATGCTTCTACCATACACAGAACCTGACACAGTATCAAGAACATAGTTGGCCAGGACTCAGTAAATATCCACAGAGCATGTAATGAAATTGTGACTCTCAAATACTGTAACTATTTTTTTTTTTAGGGAACACAATATAGTAGACAAAAGTTATTTTGAAAATGATATCATTTTGAAAACCATTTTGGACTTAACTATTATACTTGAGTTTAATTCCGTCCTCAATAGCAACTTCTTTTTTATGGTCTTTATGATTTTTTAAATTTACTTTATTAGAACAGAATTATTCCACCATAGTTATGTAAACAGTTTTAACGGCTAGATTTCTTTTGCAGTGGATGGAATATTACTTTAAGTAATTAAATGCTCATCATAGCTAAGGAAGGCCAGTGGGTTGAGTAGCCAAGGCATTCCTTAAGAAGGTAGTGAAAGGTAAGAAGGCTAGCTTTACCATATATCAAAATTATTATAAAGCTATAATAATTAAGGCATGACTGTGGTATAGGGATAGACAGACCAATGGAACAGAAAATAGAACCCTAGAAACCAGGTTTATGACAAAGTTGGCACTGCACACCATTAGGGAAAGGAAGCATTTTCCATAAATAGTATGCAACAGTTAGTTATCCACATGGAAGAAAATGACACTGAATCTCTACTTAAACCTTAAGGGTAAAACTTTAAAATAGTCTCTACACAGAGAAGAATTTAAGACTTAGAAAAATGTGAGCCATAAAAGACCACTCTTGCCTTGGCTGGTTTGGCTCAGTGGTGGAGCGTTGGCCTGTAGACCAAAGAGTGACAGGTTTGATTCCAGTCAAGGGCACGTGCCTTGGTTACAGTTTGGGCCCTGGCCCTGGTCAGGGTCGTGCGGGAGGCAGCCAGTCGACGTGTCTCTCTCACATTGATGTTTCTTTCTCTCTCTCTCTCTCCCCCTCTCTCCCCCGCCCCTCTCTCTCCCTCCCTCCTTCCCTCCCTCCTTCCCACTCTGTCTGAAGATAAAATGGGGGAAAAGGTATCCTCAGGTGAAGATTTA